GCGCACCACCAGCCCGACGGCGTGAAGGTCAAGGTCACGCCGACTATTGACAAACATCAGTCTTTCAGGGCGGCCCGCGGCGACCGAAGCTCCCAAGGTTCCAGCGAGTTCCGTGTGTGCGGCTGAGACGAGCACCAGAGGACAAATAGCTCGAGTTTTTGGCGACCAAAGCTTCAATTTTTGGCGAGCAGAAGCCGTTCGGGAACACACGCCGGAATTTTCAGAAAGCAGCGATTGGCCCTTTTCAGCGAGCAGCGGCCGATTCCTTTCCGACAGGCAGCGGTGATCCTTGTTCAGACAATTTTTGCAGTCGTTAATGGTAGCCAGAGTCCCGACAGCGGCATCCCTTCAGTCAAGAAGAATAACCTTGCACCCCTTCGTCCATTTCTGTAGCAGTCGTCGGCCCGTGAAATAGTCAGGAGCAGCTGCGTTCGTTCACGAGCAAACCGAGAACATCCCGACTGAAGTGAGCCTTTTGGTCGGCTGAGAGCTAGTTTTCTCTTTTCTTCCTAAGCCAAGAAAGGTACATCGGCTGAACCTTTTCACTCTCATTTGGCCGTGTTTCGTGCTTAATATCTGAGTTTTTGAAGTGTTCAATAGTATGCTATAGTGTTAAGTGAAAACATGTTTTGTGTGAGCATGTTTTACTGTGAATTGTTGAGCCTTGGTAAATTGTTGTGCTTTGCCGCTGTTGTCATGTTCTGTTAAAAGGTTTAGGTTGGTCTGAGATGAAGAAGAGAAGAAATGTGAGAGGTGTTTATGTTTTTTTTGTTGAGTTGAGCCTTGTTTATGCCCTGTTTTTGTACATGTGCTGAGCCTCTGATTTATGGTACTATTAAGCTGAGATTTTGAGTGTTTAAGGTGTAAAATTCAGCCATGAATTTTATTTAAAGCATGCTAGAATTAGTGAGTTTAGTTAACAAATAGGAAGAGCATGTTTTGATGCGTTATTTTTGGCCTGGACATGATTAAATTTGTTGAGCAGTTTTATGCCGTTTTATGGGCTGGAAGTTTAGTTAAAAAAAAAAAA